TGACAGGACTCTTCCCATTCTGGGGAGACAGCCCATGAGCATCTGAGAATTTTTTTCCCAAACTCACAAGAAAGTTTAAAAAAATATTATCTTTTAAATAATGAGCAAAGCCTCATTAAAGCGGGTGGGGGTAACCACTAACCTACACCATCCAGGAATCAAAATTAAAAGGTGCAGGGCTCCGCTGGGTATGTCTGAAGTAATGTGTGGTGTGAGGGGGAAGAGACAGCACAGAGACAGACACAGAGGTGAGAAAAAAGCCAGAGGCAGCCTGAACAAGCCTTGAGTGTGTGGTTCTAGGAAAGCTTAGAGTGGTGGCTTTGGGTTCTGGCTTAATCAAGAAATTATCCCTTCCTGTTTGGTTCCTCCTGTGTTCAGAAAAACAGAGCTGTGTTTGTCACTAAACGGCTGCATCAATGGTACCGGACTCCATCATCAGTTTTTTCTCCTAACTAGAATGGTTTGCAGGGTCCTGGGCACTGACTAGCTGCTTGAGTCAAAAAGGTGCTATTATGTATTGGAATCCCCCAAAGAAGAGAGTCAATATGAAGAATTTGCCTTTTGCAAATGTAGCCCCTCCTGTTCACTAGCCATGTATGAGGTTATTTAACATAGAGGAAGCCTTGTGACTTTACTCAACTGTGAGACTAGACCTGAGGCTCCTTTGTGTGCACCTCAGAGCAGACCCACTCAGTCAAACCACCAGGTTACGTCTAGATTGGCATGATTTTCCGAAAATGCTTTTAACGGAAAAGTTTTCCGTTAAAAGCATTTTTGGAACAGAGCGTCTAGATTGGCATGGACACTTTTCCGCAAAAGCACTTTTTGCGGAAAAGTGTCCATGCCAATCTAGACGTGCTTTTCAGCAAAAAAGCCCTGATCGCCATTTTCGCAATCGGGGCTTTTTTGCGGAAAACAAATCTGAGCTGTCTACACTGGCCCTTTTGCGCAAAAGCTTTGTGCAAAAGGGACTTTTGCCTGAACGGGAGCAGAATAGTATTTCTGCAAGAAGCACGGATTTATTACAGTAGGAAGTCAGTGCTTTTGCGGAAATTCAAGCAGCCAGTGTAGACAGCTGGCAAGTTTTTCCGGAAAAGCGGCTGATTTTCCGGAAAAACTGGCCAGTCTAGACACAGCCCCAGGGACAGCCTTTATTCTGTAAAGAACACACAACAGGAGTAGAGTTCAGCAGCCTCCTCTGTGCTTGCAGCCTACATAATCCCAGCTCAGTCAGTGCTGAGACTCTGCTGGGGACAGAGGGTACATCCTGGCAGGAACCAGGAAGTTCTCCCATCATGCCGCAGTTTGTAGCGCACAACTTGTAGTTCCCAGGGCTGCTCCTGAAGCACACTAGGCCTTGGGCTACACAAAAATAGCCAAAAAATGAAGCTAGCAGTGCTAGAAATCATCTGCTGGATTCCACCAGTGCTGCTGTTTGAGAAATATGCTGAATTAACATATGTTCTAGTTGCCACAGGTCCATCTCTTTCTGGATAGCCCCACTCACTTCATATAGCTTGTTTTAGTTGTTGGCTGCTGGAGGTCTGCTGCCTAATTCTGCTGGCAAACTGCAGTAAATGAATCATGCCTAATATCTTTCCACCTTTTATAAACAGTGTCTCTTCTATTATTTACTCTGCGTAAAGTATTTGGGGGTATGATGTGCACGAAAGCGACGATAAAAATAAAACGACTTTGTAAATTGCATAACTGTATAATTAGAAAATAAAATGAAAGCCATGTATCTGTGCAAGAATCCAAAGGCCACAATGTACTAAGTCTCTTACATGGCAGATCTTATCACAAAAATAATTATCTTATAAAATTACAAGTGCCCTACTTTAATTCTCAACAGCCTCTTTCAGCAGCTACTGATGCTTTGTCATTATGAATTCTTGGTGCTGTAAAATCACAAATCCTAAAACCTTTATTTAGGTTTAAAATTGAAACTATTTTCTTTCTTTTTTAAACAGCCAGAATTGTACTTGTGGTTTGGTATCAGGGGTATGCTAATAACCATATTGAATTAGCATTTTATTTTTTACTCATGGCAGATCACAGTATACATTTGTATGGTCTATTCCTGGGTGCTGCCTGGAATCCTGGATGTTCTTTCTAAGGAGCATTGCAAAGAAAAACAATATATAAATAACTACCTTAAGCTAGAGTTCCCAACTCAGTTTGAGGCCCCATCTATGTGACAAGATGCTGCGATTGCTTCCATTAATGTGCAAGGGTATAAGCCTACCTCCTCCAAGGCCCTCCCCCTTTTTTGGTGTTTTCTTTGCAGAGGGGAGGAGGAACAAGCAGTCCTGGCACACCCCAGAGCACAGAGACGGTTAATGTGAGAGGCTCTCATTCAGCCATTACAAATAGGGAGGTGACTTTTTAATGCATCTCCGTGCCCTGCAGAAAGGCATCTCACAGATGCCTAGAACATATTTGAAGGAGCCCACCTCCTGCCCTGGCTCCAGCCTCCCCCCCCAAGGTCCTGGAGGAGGAACAAGCAGTCCTGGCACACCCCAGAGCACAGAGACGGTTAATGTGAGAGGCTCTCATTCAGCCATTACAAATAGGGAGGTGACTTTTTAATGCATCTCCGTGCCCTGCAGAAAGGCATCTCACAGATGCCTAGAACATATTTGAAGGAGCCCACCTCCTGCCCTGGCTCCAGCCTCCCCCCCCAAGGTCCTGCCCTGCCCTCAGCTCCCAGGCCTTCCAACTTCCCAGCTCCCTGCCCTTACTCCTGTACCCCACCCCCATTTTTGGATACATCTATACTTCAGGAATTTGTTGGCAGAAGCAATGCAAATGAAGCACTCATTAGCATGTCTCATGCTCTCATTTGCATAATCTCTTCTGATCCTTTTTATGGAAGAGGTTTTTGTGCAAAAACCACAGTGTACACGGAACCATTTTGCACAAAAAAACCCTTTTGCACAAGAACCCTTATTCCGCAAAAAAGAAGGTATACAGGATCTTGTGCAAAAGGAGGTTTGCCCAATCTACACTGCGGTTTCCTGCAAAAACCTCTTCTGCAAAAAGGATTGGAAGAGACTATGCAAATGAGAGCGCGAGAAATGCTAATGAGCACTTCATTTGCATTGCCTCTGCCGACAAATTCCTGCAGCGTAGACGTAGCCTTATTCTAGCAAGCCAGAAAAACTGCAAATATTGTCTACCAACAAACTATCCATTGTTTGAATCACTTTCCTGCTTTTATTAATGCAGACTTCTTTTTTCCTTCATTTTTGAAAACTATAATCATTTAAATAAAGCAATACATTTTCCAACTCCTCCCCAAATCATTAGTTTGCTTTAAGACCTGAGCAATGCTGGGAAAATCTACTAGGTATTTATAGTGCTGTAGCATCTTCGAGCACTAGTTGTTGTCCAGGACCCCATTGTGCTAAGTGGTGTACAAATGGTCTTTGTCACATTTGTTTGTTGACTCTTGTTTCAATTACATTTGTAAGTCTTCTGAGTAAGGACAGCATTTACCTGCACATATGTACAGAGCCTCGGCCAGTGGGGCTACACTGAAGCCTTTGGGTGTTCCTGCAAAACCTATAGATCTGCCCATTATCATTAAGAGATTAAAATGATGAACACTATTTCATTTGGAGAAGAGTCAAAAAATAGGGCATGAAAAAAGTGTATAAAATAATGAGCAGTGAAAAGGTCACTAATAATACAAGGGGACTTTCCATTAAGCTGAATGGCAACAGTTCAAAACCAATCAAAAGAAACCTGTGTAATGTATAATTTACCCATGGATGAGCTTGCCACATGGTATCATTGTAGCAAGCAGCTTAGCAGGATGTTAAAAAAGCTTTGGCATTAATTAGACAGTAAGAATGGAAACACCAGTTGCACAAACTGCAATAAAATGTCTAAGTGATATTGACCCCCGTGTTTCAGGACATAAGCTGACCACTAAGAGTATATACATCAGTCTTTAATTATATGATGATATCTTATGTTTTTCTCAGTGCACCTGGCTTCATTCAGAGCACAATATGGCTAAGGGAGTGAAATAAAGGTTGCATGGGTATCTATAAATCAGTTATTTCCTAACTTTTGAAGATGCGACTTTGCAACCTATATAACTAGTTTTGACAAAGTTGTTTTATACATGAAATGGGTAATATATTGGCACTGTAATATGACAAGACAACTTTAAACTTTCCATAATGAAAGTCCCATGTTTTATGGCTGGGCAGAAACATCCTTTCCCTGTCAGGGAAATGGGCTAGACTGTCTTTTCCATCCCTGACATTTATGCTTGTAGAAAAATGTTTGGTATTTCCTGATGTAACCTACACTACAGCAATTGCTACAAGGCAACTGCTATGACAAACACAGCCACCTTTCTAAATAGAAGAGTAAGGTGAAGTGTGGAAAATAAACATACAATCCCAAGCCAATATCTTCTAGCAGAAACGCATCACATCTCTTCTTGATGTAATGGCTTTGTTAGCAAGGCTTTGATTTGAGAAATGCAGTGTGAACTGCTGAGGTGAATTATGAGAGGTTAATAATGAGAAGTCAGCACTGTGCTGATGACACAGACAGAGCACTTCAATAGATACACATATTTAAAAAACCTAGCAGGGATATATTGGGCAATGAAAAAACATATACTGTCAGTTTCAGAACCTCTGACATGGTAAATATTATTTGAAATTTAGCAACTGATTGCATCTAATGTCTGAGGCTGCAGAGGAAAGTATTGTATTCAACTAGTTATTATTTGGTTTATGATTAATTTACAATTTGTTGATGAAAACTCGCCTCTTTTGGGAATTGACAGAAAATACAAGTGTTTTATGTGGACTCGGGCCAAATTCCAGATGTGGACATCGTAATAGTCTTATACTGGTTCACAGGTACCATACCAATACTATCTCTGTGTCTGATTGATCAGAATTCCAATTTGTCTATTATCAGCTAGCACCTACAAGGTGGGCACAGCTCTAAAAATGTGTCTCTCTCACCAGATCTTCCTTCAGGTTAACAGGAGGTTTCAGAACAAAGGGCATGTCTACACTGCAGCGTTATTTCAAAAGAACTCACGTTATTTCGAGATAACAAGGTGAGTGTCTACACAGCAAGCTCGTGATTTCAAAATAATTTTGAAACAATGGGATTCTTATTCCCAATTCAGTAACCCTCATTTCACAAGGAATAATGCCTATTTCAATGTAGCTATTTTGGAATACGGTGTGGGTAAACAGTGCAGCCGTGTTTATTTCAAAATAAGTGGCCTCCAGGGCATCTCACATCTGCCCTGGTGGCCACTCTGTCCACACTCATCACAACTCTATAGTTCCCGTTCCCCTGCAGCCTTTAAAGGTGCAGCCACAGGGGAATCTGTTTGTGCCACAACGCAAGCCCTGCTAGCACCATGCCACACAGCAGCGCCCAAGCCCTTACCAGGGGCAGAAGAGGAGGGCCCCACTCTGGTCTGGTGCAGACATCCTGGATCTCATTGAGGTCTGGGGAGAGGAAGCAAACCTCCAGGATCTACACCCCAGACACAGGAACGCTGACGTTCAGAAGAGCCACATACGCACCCAGGCGCAGGTTCACATGAAAGTCAAGGAGCTAAGGCAGGTATACATGAAGCCAGGGAGTGGAGCTCCTCCTCAGGGGCAGCACCCCAGTCCTGCCCCTATTATGAACAGCTCCACTGCATCCTGGGGCAGGTAGGGTCAGTCCCTCCCTGCCCCCCTTTGTGGACTCTGGGCTGGAGGTGCCCATCCTCAGCTTCCTGGAGGGCAGGCCCATGGGGTAGGAGGATGAGGAGGGGGAAACAAAAGGAGGAGGAGGAAGCAGCCAGCACTGACACCATGCTCACCAACTAGGAGGTCAGCCTGTCCCTAGAGCCAGTACCCCCCTTCCCAGGATGTCACCCAGGTCTTGGAGGAGGCCAGAGAAAGCCTGTCAGGCAAGTTCCATTACTTTCCCTAGACACACATGGGGGGAGGTGGTGAGTGGCTGCACACGCTTCGCCCGGCCTTCTCGGCCTGGGCATCGCCTGTGCATGGAGCAGAGAGCTGCAATGAGACTTCCACACAGGAATCTTGTGCTCCTGCTCACAGGGTTCCTGCACAGGCCTGCCTTACTCCTGACCCCGTGGTGGGACACCTTCCCACCACAAGCCACCACTAAGGAGGCTGGTGTCATGGACACACACACAGCAGTACTACACATATGAATATGAGTCAAAAGGGTGATGCTGTGGCAAAAAAAGCAAACATGATTCTGGGATGTATTAACAGGTGTGTTATGAGCAAGACACGAGAAGTCATTTTTCCGCTCTACTCTGCGCTGGTTAGGCCTCAGTTGGAGTATTGTGTCCCGTTCTGGGCACCACATTTCAAGAAAGATGTGGAGAAATTGGAGAGGGTCCAGAGAAGAGCAACAAGAATGATTAAAGGTCTAGAGTACATGACCTATGAGGGAAGGCTGAAGGAATTGGGTTTGTCTAGTTTAGAAAAGAGAAGATTGAGGGGGGACCTGATAGCAGTTTTCAGATATCTAAAGGGCTGTCATAAGGAGGAGGGAGAAAACATGTTCATATTGGCCTCTGAGAATAGAACAAGAAGCAATGGGCTTAAACTGCAGCAAGGGAGGTTTAGGTTGGACATTAGGAAAAAGTTCCTAACTTTCAGAGTAGTCAAACACTGGAATAAATTGCCCAGTGAGGTTGTGGAATCCCCATCTGTGGAGATATTTAAGAGTAGGTTAGATAAATGTCTATCAGGGATGGTCTAGACAGTATTTGGTCCTGCCATGAGGGCAGGGGACTGGACTTGATGACCTCTCAAGGTCCCTTCCAGTCCTAGTGTTCTATGATTCCATGATAGCACACGGTCATGCCTGCACTCCTGGAGTAGCATCCGCTCCTGGGAAAATGTAGCGAAGTAGAGGATGCCGAGGCCTTGAGGAAGCCTGCTTGGGGGGAAAAAGAGGAGGGGACCCCAGTAACAGTTCACAGGTTCCCCAGCTCACACACAGGTCCCCCAACATTCTCTCTCCCCTTAGCCTCCAGCGACCAGGGATCCAAGTCCTCTCCCTGTGCATACCGCCACTGCCAGCCTGCAGGCTTCTGGCCTGGCTGGCACCTTCCAATTCCTGCTTGTCCTGGGGATGTGGGGTAACAAGGCTCCTCTGAGACATCTGTGCTGCTGTAGGAAAATGCCCGCAGTCGAGGCCATAGATGGCCTTGCTCGAAGCACATCATCATCATTTGCAGATGATACCAAACCGGGTGGGGTTGCGACTTCTTTGGAGGATAGGCACATAATTCAAAATGACCTTAGCAAGTTAGAGAAATGGTCAGAGGTAAACAGGATGAGGTTTAATAAAGAGAAATGCAAAGTGCTCCACTTAGGAAGGAACAATCAGTTCCATACATACAAGATGGGAAGCGACTGTCTAGGAAGGAGCATGGCAGAAAGGGATCTAGGGGTCATAGTGGACCACAAGGTGAATATGAGTCAACAGTGTGATGCTGTTGCAAAAAAAAAGCAAATATGATTCTAGGTTGTATCAACAGGTGTGTGGTAAGCAAAACTCGTGAAGTCATTCTGCCGCTCTACTCTGCACTAGTTAGGCCTCAGCTGGAGTACTGTGTCCAGTTCTGGGCACCACATTTCAAGAAAGATGTGGAGAAATTGGAAAGGGGACAGAGAAGAGCGACAAGAATGATTAAAGGTTTAGAGAACATGACCTATGAAGCCAGGCTTCATGAACTGGGCTTGTTTAGTTTGGAAAAAAGAAGATTAAGGGGGGACATGATAGCGGTTTTCAAATATCTAAAAGGGTGTCACAAGGAGGAAGGAGAAAATTTGTTCCTCTTGGTTTCTGAGGACAGGACAAGGAGTAATGGGCTTAAAGTGCAGCAGGGGAGGTTTAGATTGGACATTAGGAAAAAATTCCTAACTGTCAGGGTGGTCAAATATTGGAATAAATTGCCAAGGGAGGTGGTGGAATCTCCCTCTCTGGAGATATTTAAGAACAGGTTAGATAGACATCTGTCAGGGATGGTGTAGACGGAGCTTGATCCTGCCTTGAGGGCGGGGGGCTGGACTCGATGACCTTTTCTGTCAGGGATGGTGTAGACGGAGCTTGGTCCTGCCTTGAGGGTGGGGGGCTGGACTCGATGACCTCTCGAGGTCCCTTCCAGTCCTATGATTCTATGATTCTATGTGTCAGGCGCTGTCGCAGCAGCATATACTGCCACTGCTGATTGCCTGTTGGCCACCACCCAGCAGTCCAGCAACTGCCACCCTCCCCACCCCTGCTGCTGCTCCAGCTTCTGCTCACGCCCTTCCGGCTTCTCTCCCTAATCTCCCCCATGGCTGCTGAGAGCCCTACATACGAGGTGGTGGGACCACCTGAGGCAGGCACCAGTCCCAGTCCCATCCCTGAGCCTTTCTTCCTCCTTTCCTCCTCCCAGCTTCTTTCCTCCATCCTGCCCCAGTTATATTTACCCCAAATTAAAAAATATTACAACCAGTTAATTGGTTCATAACAAAGTCTGGTTTATTGTATCTGCAAGGGATGGGGAAAAGGAAGGTCAGAGGAAGGGAGGGATGCGGGAGGAAAGGCACGGAGGGGCTATGCAGAGGCTCCTTGTGGGGAAGCTCAGGGGAGAGTCTCATATACTATCCCTCAGGGCCTTCTGGATGCGCACAGCCCCCAATGGGCCTGCCGGATGGCAGCTGTATGCAGCTGCTGAAAGGCCCGTGAGAGCTGCTTGGCCTCTGCTCTGGCAGGAATGTCTTCCCCTCCCACCTACTCCACTCCCCCACTTCCCAGCCACATCTCTCAACACTGTGTATGTATCTATGGTTTCAGGCAAGATTGTATTTGGGCAGCTAGCCCCTCCTGCTGCTCACGCTGCTGACTCTACGTTAATATTTTTATGCACTATGAGCAAAGCTAAGAGAGCTCTTTACACCTGCCAGCTCCAGTGGGGATATACTCTGAGAAATTTTCAGCTAGCTTCTGGAGATATGGTTATAGATTCAACTAGAGTGGGAATGGACCCCGACTGGGAGGAATGGATTAACTTTGCTCTGCCACTGCCACTTGCTTCTCCTTCACCATAGGCAGAGTTCATATTCACCTGCTGCCATGTCGGGCTGTTGGCACTCTTATCTGGGTAGTGTATGAGTTGAGTGCATCTGTCAGTGAAGTTAAGGTGCATCCACATTGCCATTGTCCCAACACATGATCCTGGAACATCACTTATTGTCACGTTATTGGATTTCAAGGGGAGCAGCCAGATCACTACTGAATCCATGAGAGGGAGGGGTGTTAGTCCCAAAATCTGTACAAAGGGGGGATCTGTGAGGTGTCAAATGAAAGCTTATGTTCTACTGATTCTATATATGCTATTCATACACGTGTATGATGTCTGTCTGTGGAGTTATGAATATGGACTCTATGCTGATTCTGGCCTGGACTGCCTCTTGTAAAGAACAATTGTTCAGTCAACGACTATGCTAACTAGCACAGTCCCAGGGACAATGGCTCTCAGAGAGGCCAATACACACCTGAGGAATGCGTCTGGAAACATGCAAACAGCCAGGGCATAGTAGCTGCCAGCATGTGAAACACAGACAGGTCACTTGACCATGTGACCTGCTCTGGCTAGGGAGACGCCAGGAGAGAGATATAAGTGCCATGAGATGGACTCCATCTTGTCTTCGATTCTGCTACTGGTCCTAGATGCAGCCTTGCAAGGAACAAAGAGCTGGGAAGGATTGTGGACCCATCCTGACATAGGATATACACCAGAGACTTTTAAGATAGCAGTTTATAACATCTCTGCTGAGAGCCTGCATCAAGAACTTAGTGATTGGTGCATGTAATGTATTCTCCTTAATAACCTTACTCTCCGCCTTTTCTTTCCTTTATTAATAAACCTTTAGATAATAGATTCTAAAGGATTGACCCAGTGTGGTCTTGTGGGTAAGAGCCAAAGTGTAAACTGACTGGGAATCTATGGCTGGTTCTTTGGGACCGGGATGATCCATTCGGGGGAGGGGAGATTGGGT